AGGTTTACTTTTTGTACATAAATGTTGCCCTTCTAAGGCTTTGTGGAGGCAAATTTGTGTTTTGCATGGTCCAATATTGTGTCTCAAACCTAAAAAAAAAATAATGTTCCAGTTTAATAATGGAGAAGCTATTTGTCAGCTTTATATTTTTTAATAACTACTTATTTTCTGAGAATGTGTTTAAGAGCAACTATGCAAATTAACAAACTCCTAGAAAAAGTACACTATGTTATATTGTTTGAATCCCAGATTGTTCATTATTCTTTGCCTTTTCTAAAAAAGTGCAAAAGCTTAAATATTTATCTTGCACAAAAGATATATATATATATATATATTCAAAATATTTTATAAATATAAATCATAAAATATAAATTTTTTAATTTATGTTTTTTATGTCTTAATCAAGGTCATTGGGCTGGTGGGATGCCACTGGTAAATAAAGAAGTGCAATCCTTTAATTTGTTTAATGATAGTTTAGATAATTTACATCAGGAGTCTTTAACAGTTTCCAGGCCAAGGACCCCCAAACTGATGGAAGATGGAGCAGTCTATATATATTGTATGAAATTGTGTTTTATCAAACTGGTCCTATAGTCACTATATTACAGATGGAGTCATGTAATGAAAGTAATTTCGCCCTGGGATTATTAAAGTATTTCTGCACTGGAAAAGCAATCTAGAAATAAGTAAAAATGTCTTAAATTAAGTGTATTTACCCTTAATTTGAGTAGGTAAATGAGATATTTTGCTAATGGAATGAGTGTTTTTACTCTTAGAATAAGATAATTAGATAATATGCACTTGAAATAAGACAATGCAATTGTGTTTTCTTATTTCTAAGTATAAATTGTCTTGTTACATCAGCAAAATGTCTCTTTTACCTCCTCAATCCAAGAACAAATGCACTTATTTTAAGAAAAAAAATTACTTTTCTAGACATCAAATTTTTTTTCCAATGTGATTTTATTCTGATTCCTGGTTGATGGGACAGGTGTTCTGAATGAAACGGCGCCCAGCTTGAAAGAGCTCCTGTGTGTCGCTGCATGTGTGCATTGATGACTGAAAATTTATCTGTTTACTACAGTGTGTTGAATTCATGTTAATGTTTATTTAAACACATTTCAATTAGTGGAAAAGATTGGAGGGGGGGGTATAAAATAAAAAAGTCTCATCCTCTGACAGTTTTTTTTTTTTACAGAAGGGCCTTCTGTAAAAAAAAAACATTTGCACTTTCTTCCTAATTTCAGACAAACAAATGACAGACCAGCTAAATGTCACAATAATTCTTTATTAAGCATACACATTATATTATAAATATAAAATGCTATTTTGTTTTTAAAATCAGTGAGACATCATTATATCTGTGTTGAGACAGACAACCATACAAACGGGTTTGAATATTCTACCAAAATCTGCTGAAACGTCTACGCAGCTGTAACAAACCATCCTAAAGTCCGAGCCTGTATTCATGGAGACGCGTAACTGATCTAGGATCAGGTGAATGTCACCAGAAAGAAGGAGGGGGAACTGGTCTTGGATCAGCCCTCCTAGTCTAAAATGCTGTGTGCAGTAGACCCACATACAGAGAGATAGAGAGAGAGAGAAAGCACAATTACCTACCATTTATTTATTTTTTATATATATATTTAATTCTCACTTTAATCCAACTATGGCATTTAGCAGCATGATATTGCACCACTCGGCGCTTTCTAGCTCAAAGAAACTGCAACAGAAATCAGAAAGTAAAGAAAGTAAACATTGAACATAGAGATGATTATTATCACTGTACTAAGAGAGAAACTCGTCCACAGTGAAACAATCAGATCAGAGTGATGACATCTGACGCCACGGTCGGGTTCACTTCACTTTCCTCCCAGTCAGCAGGAGCTCAGTCGCCTTTACATCTCTGCCAAAAGTGATAATAAATGACATCAAGCTTGGCGTGCTTCACTGACGCTCAATAAGGCTCCGCTCTGACTGAAAATGAAGCAAACTGAACCCAAACCTTTCAATGACAATAAATAACAAATAGTTTCAACAATTTTTCTATTTTTTTTTTCCCCAAGATTTTTTTTTTCGAATGTTTTTCTTTAAGTTTGGTTGACATGCTGAATCCTTTTCCAAGTTCTGGTCAATCAAAAGGAGAAGTACTGGGCGAACCACTCCTGGCGCTGAGCGTCGGCCGAGTCGATGGAGGACTCCTTGGTCTCAGGAGGGCTTCAGGGGGAGGAACCAAAGCAGAACAACAGGATCAGAGAGGAAGTCAGGGTTAGAATAAACACGGTTTAGGTCCAGATTTTATTAAAGTTCTGCTTCTTTTACTTCTCAAGTTCGTTTAAATTCACCGAAACCTTTTGGTGACAGAAGATTTATGCAGGATTGTCACAACTTAAAGTCTTCAACTTTGTGCCTTTCTGGAAAGTAAAAAGCTTTTTTCTCATCAATCTGTGTCAAACTGAGCAGCAGAAATCTTCTCATTTAACAATAAAATTGTTTCCTGAACAAAACTAGACAGATCTGGGATTTCTTAGAATAAATTGATGTTATTTAGCACAATACAGCAACACATTAAACTGCTCAGTCTGAAGAGGACAAATATGTGAGCAACCTTTAAGTCCACAAGGGGGCAGTATAACTACAGCGATGTAATACCGTTCCAGTATATATACACAGAAAGGCTTTATTTACCAACAAAATGGCAAAAAAAAGAGCTGAAAGGACAAAAATATAAAATACTAAACCAGCAGGATGCAGTAATTTGTCAGTAAAAGAAAAATAAAACCAGAAAAAAGAATTAAAAAATGAAATAAAATAAAATAAAATGACTATGAACTTCTAAAGTCCCAAACTGAAGGTAGAGCTCAGGATTTTGTAATAGAATGATGTTTCTCATAATTATATTATGAATAATTAGAATAATTATAATGATTATTTCTCAAGCAGGCCCAGACCATCACACTACCACCACCATGTGTGACTACTGCTGGGATGCTTTGCTGGTTTTAACACCAGCTGATGGTTTTAGCAAATGTCAGAGTTTGCGTTTTTTTTTCTGGTCTGCAGGGTTTTGGGTGTTTTTAGATGTGAATGATTTCTTCAAATGATCACAGTTTGTATCATCTTTTAAACAGCTGTTGAATAAATTCAGGTCATTTTTATGTAAAAGTTTCATTAATGTGTGAATTTTCCTCCAGCTATTTTGTTTTTATTCAGGACATGTTTTCTGATAGAAATATGTTGATACATGATGGTATTTTTGTCTGTATGACGGCAGGAAGCTGCAGATGCGATCCGTCTTGTGTCTTTGGGGTGAAAACATGCTCCCCGGGGTTTGATCTAATTAGGTTAAGTGCTAAAAACAAACACCTACTTTAGGCGTTCCTGCTTCCTTAATTGGCTACTTCTAAAACAAACAGTCCCAGAACCCCTCAGTGACATTAAAGTTTTTTCCTATTTTTTCTGTTCAAGAAAGTCGGTTTCTTCCCTGCTGACTACAGTATAATGAATCTAACTGAACCTCTAGAGGGTCAACATTCATTTAAACTGCACATAATATATTAAATCAGCGTAGCAAATTCCTTTTCATAAAAATACAAAATCTGGGTTTAAATTGCAAGTTGTGCAGAAATCAAGATGGAAGAAGAGTAGGAATGTGATCAAAATGTAAGGAGAAAAGCAGAAACGTGGGGAGTAGGGTGGAAAAGGCATGCAAAAGAAAATAGAGGAGAGATGATAAATGAACATCTGAGAAAGCAAAAGAAGAAAGAGCATGATAAGACAGAATCAGGAGGAACAATGGAGTCTAAAGGACATAATTAAGCTGGTTTCAGTTAACCCCAGCCTTATCTAAAACAATCCTGGCTTATATCCCAAATGAAGAGCACCAGCACTTTGATTTTCTTTAAAACTCAAGGTTAGTTTACGTCTCAAAATACTGAATTTAAACGGATGCCATGAATCCAATGTCAGAAAATTTGGAAAGCACACATCCCTGTGTTTAGTCAAAACTGGGTAGAATAAGAGTTGGAGGATCAGAACTGGAGCATTTTGCAGCCAATCACATCCAGGGATGCTGTAAGCTTAAAAAAATAAACTTTAATGCTGGTTGACTGTACTTTCTGAATACATACCACACAATATCTAGAGCAGGGGTCACCAACGCGGTGCCCTCAAGGACCACATGGGGGGCCCCTCAGAGTCTTCTAAATAAAGAACAACCCACCAGTGGGCTAAGTTTGAAATTTTATTTTATTCTAGAGATTTCAAAATGACAATGTCTAAATAAACTTAGAAATGAACAGAAACAATAACAATAGGTTGATAATGAACAAAGTTTAGGCTAACGCTAACCCTTGCAGCTCATGGGTCAGTAATGGTCGCCCTTCCTAAGTCTCGGTACCCTTGAAGTTGCCCTCAGCCTTAAAAAGGTTGGTGACCCCTGATCTAGGAGATCAGGACAAAAATCCAAACTGGACTATTTTTCACCAACTGTCCTGTTGTCTTTAAGTCCTTCACATTGCTGGACTTTAGATAGTAATAAAAACCTGATCTCAGTATAAAGGTAAAAATTATTCCTGCAACTTTCCTGTGAATCGATCCCAACATCACCGCCATGACAGACACACATCGTATCGTCTTTTATCATATCTAAAGAAAGTCAACAGATTTCAGGCTTTCATATGAGTAACAGGAGGCAATAGAAGTATTCTTGTTTACCATCCAGTTTATTCTGCTGGGCATGAAACCCTGTTCTATCATCTTACTCTGATAAAGCGATCTGTTCTGTTCATTTATTTTGGCAAATACAGAAAAACTCACAGCTTCTTGGTTTGACAGCAAACAGCCTGCATGCACAATTTGGAGATGTGTGCATTTCCTCACTACCGGGAGTCTTAATTCAGCTGATGGTTGGATCGTTTTAGTGATAAATGGTGGGATTTTTTATATATATATATATATATACATTATAGCAAACATTAAATATGTACATATGGAGCTAAGGCCCCGTCCACACGAAGTCAAAACGAACACGAAACGCTGATATTTTCCAAAACGTTTGCCGTAAAGACGGAGACGTAAAATAAATGTGAGCGTCCACACGAATGCATGAAAACGCTGCAAAATGTATGCCAGGCCTGTAAGTGGCGCTGTGGTGCCAAAGCAAAAATAAGCAACGAAATGTTGGGCATGTGCACTAATATTTATACATGGTTGCCCTGCGGGTCCATTTTCGTGGTTAAGTCAAATTCAGGTGCTAAACTATGTCGTCGATATTGCTCTGTTCTTCCTGGAGATATTCCAGAAGAAGAAGATTCTGTTGTAAGCCCGGCAGCAGGGTGAGTAGCATTAGCAGCAACGGCGCCATTGTTGTTGTGATACTGGTCGCGCATGCGTGTTTAGAGGCGACGCTATGACGCATGCGTGTAAAAAAAAATATGCGGTTAGAGCGTAAAGATGGAAACGCGAAAACGGCGTTTCGAAATCTTCCCACTCTGAAGGCTGAATAAAAAAATGATCGTTTACAGACCCCCGAAACGCCGGCTTCGTGTGGATGAGAGGCTGGTTTGGTGAAAAATTTGTGCGTTTAGGCCAGGGTTCGTCTTCGTGTGGACGGGGCCTAAGTTTGGGCCAAGTTTACCCCTGAAAAAAAAAAAAAACTGAAAAGTACTTTTAAGAGTCTCTTCAAACTTCCGTTTTTTTTTTTTTAAGCTTCAAATTTAAAGCATTGTTTTGGCGTGGAGGGCGGAGCCTCAGACTGAGGTTTGGAATCACAATTAACTGCTCAACACAGGAGCTCTTTCCAGCTGTTGCATTCAGGGACTGTGGGAACTGAAAAGTGTCTTTAAAACATTATGAATATTATGCACTACTCAAAAAAATTAAAGGAACACCTTATAATCAGAGCATAGCATCAAGTTAATTAAACTTCTGTGATATTTATTTGGTCAGGTAAGTAGCAGAGGGGGTTAATCAGTTTCAGCTGCTTTGGTGTTAATGTAATTAACAACAGGTTCACTAGAGGGACAACAACGAGACAACCATCAAGACAGGGACGGTTTTACAGCTGGAGGCCACTGACATCTTTCCCCTCCTCATCTTTTTCACCAGTTTCGAATTTGGGTCACTGTCACTACTGTTAGCGTGAGGTGCTAGCCCGACCCTACAATAGTTGCGCAGGCAGTCCAACTCCTCTAGGATGGCACATCAAAACGTGTCATTGCCAGAAGGTTTGCTGTTTCTTCCAGCACAATATCAAGAGCATGGAGGAGATTCCAGGAGACAGGCAGTTACTCCAGGAGAGCTGGACAGGGCCGTAGAAGGTCTACAACCCATAAGCAGGACCGGTATCTGCTCCTTTGTGCAAGGAGGAGCAGGAGGAGCACTGCCAGAGCCCTACTAAATGACCTCAAGCAGGCCACTGGTGTGAATGTCTCTGACCAAACAATCAGAAACAGACTTCACGAGGGTGGCCTGAGGGCCCAACGTCCTCTAGTAGGCCCTGTGCTCACTGCCTGGCACCGTGGAGCTCAACTGGCATTTGCCACAGAACATCGGAATTGACAAGTCCGCCACTGGTGCCCTGTGGTTTTCACAGATGAGAGCAGGTTCACCCTGAGCACATGTGACAGACGTGAAAGGGTTTGGAGAAGCCGTGGAGAACGTTATGCTGCCTGTAACATCGTTCAGCATGACCAGTTTGGTGGTGGGTCATGATGGTCTGGGGAGGCATATCCATGGAGGGACCACAGACCTATATAAGCTAGACAACGGCACCCTGACTACCATTAGTTATCGGGATGAAACCCTTGCACCTATTGTCAGACCCTATGCTGGTGCAGTTGGTCCTGGGTTCCTCCTTGTGTACGACAACGCCCGGCCTCATGTGGCTAGAGTATGCAGGCAGTTCCTGGAGGATGAAGGAATTGATACCATTGATTGGCCCCCACGCTCACCTGACCTAAATCCAATAGAACACCTCTGGGACGTTATGTTTCCATCCATCCAACGCCACCAGGTTGCACCTCAGACTGTCCAAGAGCTCAGTGATGCCCGTGTCCAGATCTGGGAGGAGATACCCCAGGACGCCATGCGTCGTCTCATTAGGAGCATGCCGTGACGTTGTCAGGCATGCATACACGCACATGGGGGCTATACAAATTACTCAATTCCATTTTGAGTCGCTGCAATAAAATTTCAGCAAAATGGACTAGCCTGCC